ACACTGACATATGGCACCTCGGTGGGGGGCTCAGAGGGAGCTGCCAATTGCAAGAGTGCAGCGTGTCCCCATCCGAGCCCCGCTGGAGCAAAACAAATGCAGGATGCGAGGGGAGCAGAGGCGGCTCGGGGGCGTGTGCGCGTGTGCGTGTGTGTGCACGCTCACCGCGGGGGCGCTGGGAGGAGGGACAGGGGAACTGGGAGAGAGGAGGCTGCAGGGCTCATGGTCTGTTTTTGGTTTCCAGAAGCTGCGGAGGTCTTGGCTGGCAGGGTCCTAAGGAGCCAGGCTGGCTGTCCACCCATGCAGGGAGCACCTGATGGTTGCTGTCACAAAGACCTTTCCCCTCCCTCCTCGCTCTGGGCAGGAAACTGGGCAGGAGGGCAAAGAGAGACCCTCCAATGCTTGGGCTCTTTCCGGAATCAGATGCCCTACCCAGTGTCCTGTGGGGCCCTGGGGCTCCAGGCTCAGCCTACGTCTCCTGTCCTTGTTGGGGGGTCAGTGGGTGGGGGCAGTAGCTCCTCAGGACGTGTGACCTCTGAGACCTAGCCCCATACTGGGCTCACCCTGCAGTGTTCACTGGGAGCCAGGGGCTGCAGAGCCAAAGTTGGGGTGAGGAGGGTCCTCCCCAGACCCTGCCTTTCTGACCAGGGCTAAAGGCTGCTGCCATGGAAACCAGCCTCTTCATCAACTGGCCACTGCAGCCTGGAGATGGCTGGCTGACAGGTGCAGAGCCGAGGCCACCGCCTCGCAGGAGCTGCTCAACCATCCACCCTTATTTGAGAGTGAAGGAGGGACCCTGAAGAGTGGACTGGGCTGAGCAGGACAAGCCTGCCCCTGAAGCCCCAGTCGAGGATCCACCCTGGTGCACAAATGCCACGTGCAGCTGTCCAGTGGCACCCCATGGGCTATGTGGGGGCCACCAGCCTCGCTCTTGGAAGAAGCAGTGCCCCTACCTTTGAGCCTTCCCCAGGAGGTGGGGTGCTGTAGAGCCCGAGCCCCTAAGATGTAGCCTGCCAGGGGCTGGCCCACTCTCGACTCCCTCCCAGGCAGCTTGAACAGGAGCGGGGGACAGGGTGTGGGACTGCGGGTGGGGAGGGGGCTGCAGCCCCTCGGCGCCTTCGTGCCAGCCCTGGTGGGGGCCTGGTCACCCGCCCTGTGCCCTCCGGTGGGGGACCCTGGTCCC